GGACCCTGCATTCACTATATCTGGTTTCCCTGGACCCTGCATTCACTATATCTGGTCTCCCTGGACCCTGCATTCACTATATCTGGTTTCCCTGGACCCTGCATTCACTATATCTGGTTTCCCTGGACCCTGCATTCACTATATCTGGTTTCCCTGGACCCTGCATTCACTATATCTGGTCTCCCCAGACCCTGCATTCACTATATCTGGTCTCCCCAGACTATGCATTCACTATATCTGGTCTCCCAGGACCCTGCATTCACTATATCTGGTCTCCCCGGACCCTGCATTCACTATATCTGGATTCCCCAGACCCTGCATTCACAATATCTGGTTTCCCTGGACCCTGCATTCATTATATCTGGTCTCCCTGGACCCTGCATTCACTATATCTGGTTTCCCTGGACCCTGCATTCACTATATCTGGTCTCCACGGACCCTGCATTCACTATATCTGGTCTCCGCGGACCCTGCATTCACTATATCTGGTTTCCCTGGACCCTGCATTCATTATATCTGGTCTCCCCGGACCCTGCATTCACTATATCTGGTCTCCCCGGACCCTGCATTCACTATATCTGGTCTCCCCAGACCCTGCATTCACAATATCTGGTTTCCCTGGACCCTGCATTCATTATATCTGGTCTCCCTGGACCCTGCATTCACTATATCTGGTTTCCCTGGACCCTGCATTCACTATATCTGGTTTCCCTGGACCCTGCATTCACTATATCTGGTCTCCACGGACCCTGCATTCACTATATCTGGTCTCCGCGGACCCTGCATTCACTATATCTGGTTTCCCTGGACCCTGCATTCATTATATCTGGTCTCCCCGGACCCTGCATTCACTATATCTGGTCTCCCCGGACCCTGCATTCATTATATCTGGTCTCCCCGGACCCTGCATTCACTATATCTGGTTTCCCCGGAACCTGCATTCATTATATCTGGTCTCCCTGGACCCTGCATTCACTATATCTGGTTTCCCTGGACCCTGCATTCACTATATCTGGTTTCCCTGGACCCTGCATTCACTATATCTGGTCTCCACGGACCCTGCATTCACTATATCTGGTTTCCCCGGACCCTGCATTCACTATATCTGGTTTCCCTGGACCCTGCATTCATTATATCTGGTCTCCCCGGACCCTGCATTCACTATATCTGGTCTCCCCGGACCCTGCATTCATTATATCTGGTCTCCCCGGACCCTGCATTCACTATATCTGGTCTCCCCGGACCCTGCATTCACTATATCTGGTCTCCCCGGACCCTGCATTCACTATATCTGGTCTCCCACAGTACACGCAACATGGAAATGCAATTATTTTAGTAAATATAAACTGCTAAATACCTTTTCTCATCAGCAGTTAGAGCAGTCTTGTAACTTCTATGAGCGTCCAGCAGAGCACTGGCTACAGCTTGTAGGAGGAGTTTTCATTGTTCACTCACTACTCTATGAGATTGCATAACCCCTGACCCTCTGCCTGGACAGTGCTGATTGGCCCTGTGCTGATCACATGCACCCTCCCGCAAAAAAAGAAAAAACACTCTCTAGCAGTAAACACCAAACTGAGCATGTGCAGAGTGTCCCCGAGGCTGTGTTCTATCAGGAGATGAAATGGGGAATGTGGAAGAAGGGGAGGCTCAGAGAAGACAGGATCAAACAGCCTTTTTACACAATGCAGAGGATTAACCCCTTAGGATCCACAGTGAGTATAACAAGCATTCTTTACTGCATATACAGACTGATTTTACTGTTGTGGGTTTATTAACACTTTATTGATTTAAAAATGAATCAAACAACCTTGTGATATGGCTTTATCTGATCACTATCCTTAAATAAAAGACAGTTTTGTTGGATGATCAGTCATATTTTCAATATCGATTTCTGCCAGGGTATGCAAACTCTTAAGCACAACTGTATGTATGTATATATATATAAAAAAATAATAATAATAATATATATATATATATATATAGAATCTACTGTACTGTATATATAGCTTACTATCCAGTGTATATATATATATATATATATATATATATATATATATTATTATATGATACCTTTACTGCATAGTACCTTATCAGATCTGTCTTTACTGTAGTTCAGGTTGCTATGCTGTCCCATCGTCTGCACGCTTTCTGTCCTCGTTACATTTCTTTATTGACTAAGCCTGTATATATTACAGTACTCTTCAGGAAAAGTTGCCTACTTCAACATTTCATCCAGATATAGGTCCTCAAGGTCATTTTTATCCCTCAAACTTTGCCTTTTATATTCTTTTTTTCTGTATCCTTTAAAGCTGAGCAAAAGAAGCAAAGATCAGACTCGCCATAAAACTCTGCCGAGGCACCATTTTCCCCTGCTTTATTAACGCGAGCAAAAATAAAACAAAATTTTCATCCATCACTAACTTTGTACTGCATAAAAACACTTTTTTCCCCCTAGCCTGCATGGCGCTCTGGCCTGGGTTGATTAATGACCTTATTATAACTTCTGGCACACATAAAAAGTGTCTGTATGCGCCCCAGCCAAGTTAATACAAGGCTGCTTGTTTTACTGGCCAGCAGATTAACTTTTGCTGTTCATAATTGCAAAAATTGTGCTCCGTCTGCAAACTAAATAAATAAACAAATAAATAAATAAATCAAACAAATAAAAAAAATGGATCTGGAGCAGGTATACAGGACATTAATTTTGTAAATCATCTATGTGGGATGGATAGCTAAATATTTTATCTGCGTACAGGGAGCCTGCTCCATCATTTTGCAAAGCGTGGAGTTGACCGATGCAAATGAAATGCATCTTCCTCGGTATTGATATCCGTCGTGAATTCTGGAGCTGTTCTACCATTGATTATTTTATGTTGTGAGCAAAAATAATACTTTTTTTTTTTTTTTAAGTAAAAAAGAATGCTGTCTTTATTTGGAAGAGCAGCTGGAAAATATGCCATCAGTTCATGTTTCTCTGACACTGTTCAAGGGATTGAGCATATTATGAAAATACTCTCAGTAGGGAGCTCTGAAGGGTAACATGATTGCCAGCAATGCGTGTTTTGTATTTCACAGTTCACTGTTATGCTGTTTACCGGCTCTCAACATCGGCCTGTCATCGGCTCATATTCAGTTATCCTCTTAACAGGCAGTGATATATTTCAACACAGTGGTGGTCAACTTAGTAAATATTGAGGGTCTCAAGTTCAGCCCCTGACATGGCTACAGAATGGATTTCTTTTATATGTTTGCTAATATTAGTCATAAGAATGACATTAATTTATTTATTACAGGTACTTACATAGTGCTGTCAATTTACGCAGCACTTTACATATATATTGTAAATTCACATCAGTCCCTAACCCTCAAGGGGCGTACAATCTAAGGTCCCTAACTCACATTCATATACAAGGGCCAATTTAGACAGGATCCAATTAACCTACCAGCATGTCTTTGGAGAGTGAGAGGAAACCCACGCAGGCACAGGGAGAATATGCAAACTCCAGGCAGGAGGTGCCGTGGCTGGGATTCGAACCAATGACCCTAGTACTGTCAGGTGGAAGTGCTATCCATTTAGCCACTGTGCTGCCCACATTAATAATAACCTTTATTTATATTTGTGCAGTGCTACACTTAATCAGGGCTGTCTTAATGCATGGGCACCCCTAGGCAGTGCCCAGGGGCCCCAGGTGCATAGGGGCCCCATGATAAGAATGGTAATCTTGCATTACATCATATTTCACAGCTGGCCTGTATTTCCCGGGACAGTCATGCTTTTTACTAAGCTGTCCCGGGAAGGCCTGGACAGCACCCCAGAACCTGTACTGTGCTCTCCTGATCTCAGTATTGTCCCTTCCTGACTTCCCCTGTACTGTGCCCTTCTCCCCCCGTACTGTGCCTTTTGTGTTGATTAGTCTTTAATTCATTGCATGTTTTCTTATTGTTTAAAATCAGTTTTATTGAAAGTACTAATAAATCATTCAATTTCATTCTGTCCACTATTTATAAATTAATTCTTGAGAATAGGTGTGTAAATTGGGGCAGGCAGGTAGGGGCTCCAGTGCATTACTATGCTCAGGGGCCCATAATGCTATTAAGACGGCCCTGCACTTTATATACAGTACTTCCAACCAATGACCAATATACACTATGTTGCCAAAAGTATTGGGCCGCCTGCCTTTACACGCACATGAACTTTAATGGCATCCCAGTCTTAGTCTGTAGGGTTTAAAATTGAGTTGGCCCCGCCCTTTGCAGCTATAACAGCTTCAACTCTTCTGGGAAGGCTGTCCACAAGATTTAGGAGGGTGTCTATGGGAAGGTTTGACCATTCTTCTAGATGTGCATTTGTGAGGTCAGGCACTGATGTCGGACGAGAAGGCCTGGCTTGCAGTCTCGGCTCCAATTCATCCCAAAGATGTTTTAGTGCGTTGAGGTCAGGACTCTGTGCAGGCCAGTCAAGTTCCTCCACCCCACACTTGCTCATCCATGTCTTTATGGACTTTGCTTTGTGCACTGATGCACATTCATGTTGGAACAGGAAGGGGCCATCCCCAAACTGTTCCCACAAAGTTGGGAGCATAAAATTGTCCAAAATGTCTTGGTATGCTGTTGCCTTAAGAGTTCCCTTCACTGGAACTAAGGGGCCAAGCCCAACCCCGGAAAAACAACCCCACACCATAATCCCCCTCCACCAAACTTTACACTTGGCACAATGCAGTCAGGCAAGTACTGTTCTCCTGGCAACCATCAAACCCAGACCTGTCCATCAGATTGCCAGACAGAAAAGTGTTTTTGATCACTCCAGAGAACAGGTCTCCACTGCTCTAGAGTCCAGTGGCGGCATGCTTTACACCACAGCATCCTATGCTTTGCATTGCACTTGGTGATGTAAGGCTTGGATGCAGCTGCTCGGCCATAGAAACCCATTCCATGAAGCTCTCTATGCACTGTTGTTGTGCTAATTTGAAGGTCACACCAAGTTTGGAATTCTTTAGCTATTGACTCTGCAGACAGTTGGTGACTTCTGCACACTGTGTGCTTCAGCATGTGCTGACCCGCTCTGTCATTTTACGTGGCCTACCACTTGATGGCTAATGTTCCCAGTTGCTTCCACTTTGTTATAAACCCACTAACAGTTGACTGTGGAAAATTTTGTAGCAAGTAAATGTCACAGATGGACTTATTGCACAGGTGGCAACCTATCACGGTACCACGCTTGAATTCACCGAGCTCCTGAGAGAGACTCATTCTTTCACAAATGTTTGTAGAAGCAGTCTGCATGCCTAGGTGCTTGATTTTATACACCTGTGGCCATGGAAGTGATTGGAACACCTCAATCCAATGACTTGGAGGGCTGGCCCAATACTTTTGGCAATATAGTGTATGAGAGGCAGAGTGTTTCCTGCTAGTTCCAATTATGGATAGTTACTAAAACTGGCGCAGCTCTGCATAGAAACCAATCAACTTCCAGGTTTTACTGTCAAAGCTGGAGTTAAAAGCTGATTGGCTACCATGCACATCTGCACCAGATACGAAGTGCTTTAGTTTTAGTAAATCTACCGCTATGTGTCACCTTCAGATGCAGGAAACACCAAAACGGAGGATGACATTGGAATGATCTTCTTTTAACCTTTGGCTTTAAGAAATGTTTGTTGTCCCGGTGGGAGGGACCTCTGACTCCCATACTTTCCTGGGAGATGACTGAAGGAAAACAAAAAAAAAATTGTATTGCAATAACTATATTGGGCCACTTTCTAAAGCAGACACATACATGGATCAAAATGTGGCCAGTATTCATGCCTAGGTGCTTGATTTTATACACCTGTAGCCATGGAGGTGATTGGAACACCTGAATCCAATGATTTGGAGGGCTGGCCCAATACTTTTGACAATATAGTGTATATGTGTCTGTGGATAAGCTCAAAAAGTGCTAAAACAAATGTAACTCACAAAATTATCTTGTTATAAAAACAAATTTAAAACTATATACAATAAAAACAGATCAGGTCTATATATGGGGCAGCACAGTGGTTAGCATTTTCTGCATAGCAGCACTAGGGTTGTTGGTTCAAATCTTAACCACGGCACTACCTGCATGGAGCTTTCATGTTCTCCCTGTGCCTGCGTTGGTTTCCTCCCCCATCCTCCAAAGACATGCTTGAGGTTAATTAGCTCATGTATGTATGAACGTGGGTTAGGGACCTTAGATTGTAAGCTCCTTGAATGCAGGGACTGATGTGAATGCCCAATATATACATGTAAAGTGCCGCACAAATTGACGGTGACATAAAGGTACCTATAATAAATCATATCCTTTGTGTACTATGTGAATAGTAGAATGTTTCCACTCTGGATAATCCTTGTGAACACCTCTTCAAAAAACACCACCATGAAAAAAGAGTATGCGGGTTTGCTTGCCTCTGAAACAACATCCAGGTTATAAGAAGTCTAAACAGGTCATAATATACAGTATGATCCAGCCAGGGTGTTCTTCTGTGCTTTCAGCCTTAATGGATAAGTCACATTTAGAGATGAGCGAATCGAACTCGGCGAAGTGGAATTCGTTTCGAATATTAGGAAAAATTTCGATTCGCGCATCCGAAGTATGCTAATTTTCCAAACATTTTTCCAAAAATGGCGGCGACATGTGTGGCGACGGAGCGGGGATCTCTGGGAAGGCGCGCAGACAAGGCGCGCTGACCCATAATGCAATCATTCATGACATGTGATCGCATTAGCCAATCAGCAGCCAGCCAGCACTGTGTAATGGTGGAGCTATAAATTGCGGCCATCTTACAATTCTCCATTTGCCTCCGGTCATTCAAGAGAGACAGACCTCTCTGTATTAGGGACAGAGTTAGGGCCACAGATACTTTAGGGACACAGAATCGTTACTTAGGGACACAGAATTGTTACTCAGGGACACAGAACTGTTACTCAGGGACACAGAACTGTTACTCAGGGACAGACACAGAATTGTTACTGAGGGACACAGAATTGTTACTGAGGGACACAGAATTGTTACTGAGGGACACAGAATTGATACTCAGGGACACAGAACTGTTACTCAGGGACACAGAACTGTTACTCAGGGACAGACACAGAATTTTTACTGAGGGACACAGAATTGTTACTGAGGGACACAGAATTGTTACTCAGGGACAGACACAGAATTGTTACTGAGGGACACAGAACTGTTACTCAGGGACACAGAACTGTTACTCAGGGACACAGAATTGTTACTCAGGGACAGACACAGAATTGTTACTGAGGGACACAGAATTGTTACTCAGGGACAGACACAGAATTGTTACTGAGGGACACAGAATTGTTACTGAGGGACACAGAATTGTTACTCAGGGACACAGAATTGTTATTCAGGGACACAGAATTGTTACTCAGGGACACAGAACTGTTACTCAGGGACACAGAATTGTTACTCAGGGACACAGAACTGTTACTCAGGGACACAGAATTGTTACTCAGGGACAGACACAGAATTGTTACTGAGGGACACAGAATTGTTACTGAGGGACACAGAATTATTACTGAGGGACACAGAATTGTTACTCAGGGACAGACACAGAATTGTTACTGAGGGACACAGAATTGTTACTGAGGGACACAGAATTGTTACTCAGGGACACAGAATTGTTACTCAGGGACACAGAACTGTTACTCAGGGACACAGAATTGTTACTCAGGGACACAGAATTGTTACTCAGGGACACAGAATTGTTACTCAGGGAAAGACACAGAATTGTTACTGAGGGACACAGAATTGTTACTGAGGGACACAGAATTGTTACTCAGGGACACAGAATTGTTACTCAGGGACACAGAATTGTTACTCAGGGACACAGAATTGTTACTCAGGGACACAGAATTGTTACTCAGGGACACAGAAATGTTACTCAGGGGGTACACAGAATTGTTACTCAGGGACAGACACAGAATTGTTACTCAGGGACAGACACAGAATTGTTACTGAGGGACACAGAATTGTTACTCAGGGACAGACACAGAATTGTTACTGAGGGGGACACAGAATTGTTACTGAGGGACACAGAAATTGTTATGAGGGACACAGAATTGTTACTCAGGGACAGACACAGAATTGTTACTGAGGGACACAGAATTGTTACTGAGGGACACAGAATTGTTACTGAGGGACACAGAATTGTTACTCAGGGACACAGAACTGTTACTCAGGGACACAGAATTGTTACTCAGGGACAGACACAGAATTGTTACTGAGGGACACAGAATTGTTACTGAGGGACACAGAATTGTTACTCAGGGACAGACACAGAATTGTTACTCAGGGACACAGAATTGTTACTCAGGGACACAGAATTGTTACTGAGGGACACAGAATCGTTACTCAGGGACACAGAATTGTTACTCAGGGACACAGAATTGTTACTCAGGGACACAGAATTGTTACTCAGGGACAGACACAGAATTGTTACTGAGGAAAACAGAATTGTTACTGAGGGACACAGAATTGTTACTGAGGGACACAGAATTGTTACTCAGGGACACAGAACTGTTACTCAGGGACACAGAACTGTTACTCAGGGACACAGAATTGTTACTCAGGGACAGACACAGAATTGTTACTGAGGGACACAGAATTGTTACTGAGGGACACAGAATTGTTACTCAGGGACACAGAATTGTTACTCAGGGAAACAGAATTGTTACTGAGGGACACAGAATCGTTACTCAGGGACACAGAATTGTTACTGAGGGACACAGAATTGTTACTCAGGGACAGACACAGAATTGTTACTGAGGGACACAGAATTGTTACTGAGGGACACAGAATTGTTACTCAGGGACACAGAATTGTTACTCAGGGACACAGAACTGTTACTCAGGGACACAGAATTGTTACTCAGGGACACAGAACTTGTTACTCAGGGACACAGAATCGTTACTCAGGGACACAGAAATCGTTGAATTAAAGAGTATGTCAGACAACACGCAGAGGAGTGTCAGAGGAGGCCATGTTTTAGGAGCGAACAGACGTTTGGCAGCAGAGGAAGGGGTCGAGGCAGCACTAGTCGCAGCCAGAGGCCAGTGCTCCCGGTGTTAATCCAGCGGTCGTGTCTCCACCGACAACCCTGCCGTCATCGATTGGTTGGCTCGGTCGTCTTCCTCTTCCAGGTCACCTCTGACACCTACAGCCAACGGTCGGTGGGTACGTCAGACAACAACCGTTAGTTGGCATGGCCCGGGAGCAAGCCCACTGAAATCACGTGTCCTCTACCTGCCCCTGTCCTTTGGTGTTCCCTCACCAAGCGAAGTATCGCATGCTGTGGGCTCAGCCCCACTGTACAGTGAGGAAGAGCTAACAGAGGGCGGTCAGGAACGGGGGGGAGACATCCGCCTCTTCAGCAGCCAGGCGAAGAAGTACTGGCGAGGAGAGTGGCTCGGTAGCCAGTCTAGAGACAGGTCTGTCTCACTGGACCCACACGCAGCCAAGGAGGCTAGTAGTGAGGCGGAGACCACCTAATTGATGATGATGAGGCTGATCGCACTTGGCAGCCTGTCGTCGTCATCAGGCTATTTCTTTCGCATCATCAGGAGAAGAGGGTGCCAGCTTGGCAGCGAGCAAACAGTCGGTGGGATTGCCCAGGAGGCAGCAGGGTCGCAGCAGTGTTCAGTGGAGGGCAAAACGGCCACGGAGTAGAGCACCAGCTCCACTGCAGCCTTACCACCACGGCCAGTAGTGGTGCCGGTGTGCAACGGAGGAAGTAGCAGTCAGCCCAGTGAGGAGTAGCGGGGGCAAAGTTTCCTACTCGGTGGTGTGGCAATTTTTCAGCAAGCCGCCTGAGGAAGTAAACGTAGCCCGTATGTCGACTATGGTGGGCAGAAAGTCAAGCGTGGCCACAGGGGGCCCATGTTGGGACTACAGCGTTGTGTCAGCATATGCAGCGTCGCCATTCGGTGGCCTGGGAAAACCGTGATAAAGATACGGCGGTTCTGCCTGCCCCAGCCCCCCGCTCCATCACCCGCTCCGTTACTTGCTCCGTCACCCACGGACGTCAATCGCCCTCTATCAGCCAGTCAAGGCTCCACACCTCTGCTGAGGGGCGTAGTCGTCGCTCGTTGGCAACTTCCGCTCGTTCAGATGCTCCTTCTCCTGCTACTCCTCTTCACGGATTCCGTCAGCAGTCTTTCTTGGAATCCGTTTCCAAGAGACAACAGTTTGCGAGCACGCACCCGATTGGTGCAAAAGCTGAAACGTTCCTCCTGTCCAAGTTGCTGGTGCTGCAGTCCCTCCCTTTCCAAGTGGTGGACTCAGCACCTTTCCGAGAAATGACATGGCTTGTGCCGCGCCGCGGCGTGTGGAGAGTGCCAAGCCGGCATTTCTTCGCCAAAAAGGCAGTGCCAGCCCTGCATTCACATGTTTAGAAGAGATGGATGGGCCAGTCTTTGAGCATGTCGGTCTCTGCCAAAGTGCACGGCCCCAAGCGCCGACGTTGTGGAGCTGTAACTACGGTCATGGGACAGTACATGTCATTTACGGGGAACCACTGGGTGAACGTTGGTGCCGGCACAAGCCGCACCAGTCAACTTGACAGGTACAACGCACGCTTTTGCCTCCACGCTTTGCAACGTCCCCTTGTGGCCTACCAGCCAAACGAGTCGCCTCCTAAACCACCTCTTCTTCCGCCTGTCCTCAC